AAGCTGATCCTCAGGGTTATACAAAATTACATATAAGAGGAAAGGAGGGGTAAGAGAAGAATAATACAAGTGGAAGAAATGATTTACAGTAGAGAGGGTAGAGAGAAAAGAGGGGAGGGGAGGGGAGGGGAGATAGTAGAGAATAGGATAGACAGCTGAATACATCAGACACTAGAATGATAATATGTAAATCAATGGAAGTGTAACTGATGTGATACAGCAATCTGTATACGGGGTAAAAATGGGAGTTCATAACCCACTTGAATCACACTGTGAAATATGATATATTAAGAACTGTGTAATGTTTTGAACTACCAACAATAAAAAAAAAAAAACTAAAAACTTAAAGCTAACGTACTTAATGGTGAAAAACTGAATGCTTTCATTCAAAGATCAAGAATGAAGATGTGGGGGAAGAAAAAAAATAATGAGGTAAGGATGTCCCCATTCACCACTCTTATTCAATACAGTGATAGGAGTTCTACTCTTGCAGTAAGTCAAGAAAAGGAAACAAATCAGAAAGAAGGCTATCCATATCTGCACATGACATGATGTAGAAAATCAAGAAATTTACCAGAGAGAGAGAAAAGAGACTAAGGTTTAAAAAAACAAAACACAAGATGACTTGTATGCTGAAAACTATACAATGCTGACAAAAGAAATCAAGGTCATTCTCCAACTATTTAATGCAATTCCTAATAAAAGTCCAGCAACATTTTTCTGTAGATATAGAAAAGATTTGGATTTCATCAGAAATGGTGAACTTTTAAAATCCTCTCCTCCATAAAAGTAATGCATGCACAAGGACAAAAACTGTCACATTAACTTTTTTAGAATTCTGAAATTTAACCAAATGCTTGTAGCAATCCAGAAGTATTTACTTAAGAAAATGTTTGAGTCTCCATAACAGGAAGCTTTGTGGAATTTTATACATGTCCTCAAACCCCTCTCCCTATTTCTGTGATAGTCTTAAAAACCAACAGCCTAGAACCACAGTGAAAACTAGCAGCATTAAAGACAATAGAAAGGTGTGAATAAGTTAAGAACTCTTAAATCTTCATTCTCATAGAAATGTCATTTTCTGCTCTGTATGGCAGTTTCCCAGAAAAACTGATTTGGCAAGGCTTGTCTTCATTGACCCAACTCAGTTCACTCACTACAATCTTAAATTTTCCCTGAATACATTTGTCAAAAACAATCAGCAGGAATCATTTATCATCAGAGCTGTCTGAAGAGGGATAATAACAGTTGCAGCAGACAATAAGCTCAACAAAAATCTTCAAAGGAAAAACTGGGGTATGAGATGTCTAATCAAAGTTTTGGATGCTTCTGGGAATCCAAAAGCCATGTACATGAGTAGAACTATACATGCTCTAAAAGACCTGAGAAGGCCCTAAGCTCTCACCTGTTTCACCTTGAGGCTCTGTGCAATTAGAAAGCAAAGTCAGGGACAGAGCTGGGACTAGCAGTGAAAATTAGCCAAAATTTAACAATCTAAGGAACATTCATTCAAACAAAATGACTAGATTTCAATGACAAGTAAGGGCAATGCCCAGCTTGGGAACCACTAAGTTAAATGAGCACTGGCTTTGGTAGTCACATATAATGAAGAATACAAACTTCAAAGAATCAGGAAATCACTAAAACATAAAGAATATCAAGGCTTGGGACTGGGAAGGAGAGATGATTATAAGAGTTGCTACACTGTTATTGAAACGGACTAGTTTTAACCAAAACATTTTAACACAAATAAGAAAATATGGTCTACATTCTGGGGAAAAAAGTGAACAGAAAAGTTCCTGAGTATTATGGTTCAGATATGAAATCTCCTCAAAAAGCTCATGAGGTAATGCAAGAATGCACAGAGATAAAGTGATTAGATATGAGCTGTGATCTAATCAAGGGATTAATCTATTCAATGGATTACTAGATGGTAACTGTAGACAAACGGGTGTGGCTAGAGGAAACAGGTAACTGGGGAAGTGCCCTTGGGGATTATATTTTGTCCCTAGCTTCTCAGGCTCTCTGATTCCCAGCAGTCATGAGTTGAGCAGCTTTCCTCTGCTGCATCCTTACCTGACAATAACCTGCACAAAGGAATCAAGAGCACTGGTAAAGGTAATTACATGGGTAAAAGTAAAAGGACAGTATAAGTGTATTTTGTAGTTTGTAACTCTTTTTTTCCCTTCTACCTGATATGAAAGACAACTGCTGTAATATTTATATATATATATACACACACACACACACACACATATGTAGCAAAATACAATTAATATAATTATGAGGAGGATATATCAGCCTACAGAATGGGAAAAATTCTTGGCCAGCTACTCCTCCGACAGGGGTTAATATCCAGAATATGCAAAGAACTCAAAAAACTTAAACACTAAAAAGAAACAACCCAATCAACAAATGGGCAAAAAAAACTAAACAGAAACTTCTCAAAAGAAGAAACACAAATGACCAACAAATATATAGGAAAAAAATGCTCAACATCTCTAGCAATCAGGGAAATGCAAACAAAACTACACTAAGATTTCATCTCATTCCATTCAGAATGGCAATTATCAAGAACACAAACAACAATAAATGCCGTTGAGGTCATGGGGGGGGGGAGGCATACTTGTGAGGCTGTAGACTACTGGTACAACCACTTTGGAAAGCAGTATGGAGATTTCTCAAAAAACTAGGGATGAAACCAGCATATAATCCAGTTATCCTACTCCTTGGTATTTTCCCCAAAGATCTACAATCAGCATACCATAGTGATACAGGTATCTCAATGTTTACAGCAGCACAATTCACAATAGCTGAATATAGAATCAACTCAGATGTCCATCAATAAATGAATGGATTAAGAAATTGGTTATATACATACAATAGATTTTCACTCAGCCATAAAAAAGAGCAAAATATGGCATTTGCCAGTAAATGGAGAATATCATGCTAAGTGAAATAAGCCAAACTCAGAAACTCAAAGGTCTAATGTTTTCTCTCATATGCCAAAGCTAGAGTAAAATAGAGGAAAGGCAGATGGAGGGATTGGGTAACAAAGGGAAGATCAGTAATATAGAAAGAAGAGTTGGAGAGGCAGAGAGAGAAATAGGTATGGGGGGCAATGCAGAATGAATTCTTAAAAAATTATGTTATCTGCATATATAAAAATACCACAAGGAACTTCACCTTTATGCATAGGTAGGAAGAACTAATTGAATATAAATAAATAGATGAGTTAAAGAAAGTCTAGTAGAGAAAGGAGAATAGGAGAGGAAAGTTGGAAAAAAAAGGTAAAGATAAAAGGGAGGGATCATGAACTAAAATCAAATTCCATGCACATCTGAGTCTGTCAGGATGAACCCAACTACTATGTATGACTATAAAGCCCTAATTTTAAAAATGGATATATCAAGTAAGTAAAAAAGTACGTAGACCATTTGAATAATATCGCAGAAAGCCTACTCATATATGTGTATATATACATGTATCTCCACAACCAAAGATAGAAAGCAAATTCTTCTCAAATATATTCAGAGCATGTATAAAAATCAAATATAAAATAAAAGCCCAAAAGATGTGTCAAAAAATTCTAAAGTTGCCAGGTATGGCAGCATATGCCTGCAATCCTAGCAGCTCTGGAGGCTCAGACAGGAGGATCAAAGCCAGCCTCAGCAACTTAGTGAGGTCCTACGCAACTCAGTGAGACCCTACAAAATAGGGCTGGGGATATGGCTCAGTGG